TATTTCGCAAGTCGTCTCGTAGCGGTTAACCGTAGAAAAGAAGCCGAAGTGAAGCGAAGCGCAACTATCGTCAGAAGTTGCCTCTAACCACACACTCTCCCAGCGATCGAGATATATGGACACCGTCCGCCCGTGCAGGTATTCGAAACGAAACCACCGAATAAAAAAAACCAAAGCGTCGAAACTTTCAGGAAATTTATTTATTCCGACCACCCTTCGTAGCCTCCAAAAACAGGACCTTCTTCTTCACGACGGGATCGTACTTGAGCATACTGAGCGGGCGGTGCGTACGGGGACGGATCATCGTGCGATAGAAACCGGTCATGGCCATGGAGATGAGACGCACGGTGATAGTGCGCGACTTGACTGTATGATGCCATCTTTGTCAGTTATCGTCCATCATCATACGTGGGTTTCCGCAGTGTTACTGCGGGTGCAGTCGAGCTTTATGGGAAATCGGCGCAGGGGTAGAGTCATGGGGAATGTGTTAACGCACCTTTCTTAGCCATTTTGAGGGGCTTTTGGGGGAGATTAAGCTTGAGGGAGTGGATTGCCTGGGCGTCGAGTCGAGGGACTTGCGGAGTTGCGCCGGAGAAGTTTGGAGGATTGGATTGGGATGCGGGCACGTGATTGGAGTGTTTCCTGATTGGGGATGGTGGGTTAGTGGTGGATTATAGTTGGGTGGGTCATGTGACTGCACGTGCTTGGGGATACCTTGGATACTTGGAGAACTGCTGATTTATTTTTGCGCGATCAATGTCGCCTATACTTAGGGTCAACTTTGAATTTCTGGTGAAATGCCAGCCGGCGAATGAAAGGGATGAGATGGGCCGGCAAGCGTGATGGTGTGTTAACACCGGCTCGACTGACATCCAAAGTAGATCACCTGGACATACTGTGTTCGAGGAATGGAAAGCTGGACCCGAGTGTGGAAAGCAGTGATAGTGTTCCTGGGCTGTATATCAAAATAGAAATGCTTCTTTCACCGAACTAGCCCGGCTAGCTCAATCGGTAGAGCGTGAGACTCTTAATCTCAAGGCTGCGGGTTCGAGCCCCGCGTTGGGCTTTCTTTTTTTCTTTTTTTACTGTTGGCTTCCTTGGATCCAGAGCCATCCGCTACCTGTGGGGCCACCTTTTTTTTTTTTTTTTTTTTTTTTTTTGGATGTCCATTGCATGGCATGGGATTTGCGTGGATACGGATGGCCTCGATGAAAGGGTCGACTACACTCCTGTCGAAATATCGTTTACCCTTCACCCAATAACATTGATATGTAGATATCATGATGAATCCGCTACTCAATTGTTTCATGCTCAACTCAGGCACGACATCAATGAGTCCAATAACTCTTTTCCGGCAATACACTTTTCGTAATATTCTGCCGCATGAGCGTCTCAGCGCATTTCTTACTGAGGGACTCTTTGCTGTAACATTCGAGAACTCTACTACATAGACTTTGATGCTCCTTGTTAGCTGGCTAGGGCATCTAAGAAATCCCAGTACCTTTTACCCATGCTACGCTACCACAGTGGTCAGTCACATAGTGCAGCCCTGAATTCACCTCGGAACCTGTCCGTCTGTCTTCAAGGTCACCAGCCACATCTCAAATGCTATGTTCAATGCTACCTCGATACCATTGTCGGCTTCTCTCTCCACCCAATACACAGCATGAAGTATAACACATGCGCCTATCCAACCATTGACCCACAAGCAAGTGTCCAGACAGTCTGACAGCATACTACAAACTCACGTACGATGGTGTGATAATGTACTTGTTGTCCCATGGACCTAGATGCACATATCCTATTCCAACAAAATATACATCCGAGTGGATCCCCATTCTTCAGCAACCTACCTATTCAGTCCATTATCAACTACTATTATGATCATCATAGACCACTCTAGACTAACGCACAGACATCTCCCCATGAATAACATAGCTAAATCACCCGATTACAGACGTCGATCTCACCAGTCCAGAGTCTGGACAGCAGTTACATCTCCACTCTAGCCAACTAGCCAGGTTTCAGGTTTCAGAACCAAACCAGCAATGTTGATGATGATGAGCTAGCCTAACCCCGGGCCGTGCTATAGCTCCTAGTAGGTTTCTTCGGAGAATTACCCCATCTCTATTCTTCCCCGATAGACGTATACATTAGTTCCTGCCAATGATCAATAGATATTGGGCTTGAAGCTATCCACAATAACCCAAAGGGGTATTAGCACACCCCGGTAATAGCCATCTCAACTGCCGAAGACAACTATATTTAGTAGTTGTTGCTAGCTAGCTAGCTAGCTACGTACAGCACAGACACAGCAAGCTCTCACTAACTGGCACTGACTAGTAAGTATCTAGATAGTCGCAGTACCTGCCCAACGGCCCCATACTACTACCCCCGAAGTACCTAACTACAGGAACAGCATCCCATCCCGTCCGTATTAATGTGATCCACAACAGTTGCTATACTAGCACCCGGGCTAGCACCCGCTGATCCGGCCGGAAGCAAAAGTACCACCACTACCACCACCACCATCTTACTCACTACGTATACGTACATAGTACCCACTCACTACATATACAGACACTCACTTGCTGTCACTGTGGCATACACTACATACCCACTAAGTATAGACACCAGTCTCCACTATGTACCCTACTACCCAGACTTCGAGTCGAGGCCAGAGCCGGTGGAGTACCCGCAGTGGGGACTCTGATCCACAGGGTACAGTGACAGAGGAACCACGTAGCGGGTTGGATTTAAACGGTGCGATACCTAATAACTAACTAGCTAACTAAATGGGTAATAATTACCAGCCTCCTGGCTTAGTACATATGTTGTGGAAATAAGGTTTTTTGTTTGTGTTGTGGTGGGAGTTTCATGTGCAGTGCTATTTTCATGATTCAGAAGAGTAGTGGTAGTATGCATCTGGGGCAAGGATTAGTGCAGAGTCTACTAGTAGGTCGAGCCAATAGGGTAGATTGACTGGCATGACTCACTCACTCATTCACTCGCAATGTATGTTCATGTACGGTGTACCGGGGTATAAGAAATGCACGATGAGAAATAAACTTTGCGCGGGTGAATGTTAGAGGCTGCTGGCTGGCTGCTAAGGGGAGGGGGAACAGGGATAGAGCCGCAGTGCCGAGGGAGGGTATAGTAGGATGATAGTATAGGAGAGGATAGTACGAAATTATGTGGCTAACTGGCTAGGCACTAGGCAGACAAATGAGGCTGTCTATGCACATGCAGAGTAACGGGAGTTAAGAGTTGGTTGGCTACGTTGCAGAAGAGTGAGACTTGCAGAAAGACCACTTGGCAATAGTCAAATAAATTCCAGATTAAAATACAGCATCACTTATTGGACGCGTAAGCACGAATCATTGCAAAGACAAAGGAAATAGTGGGTGTAACTCGTTCGAGTCCCCGATGAAAAAGACCAAATGAGGGGAAGGGGATGATCCGGGTGGATCATCGGTCGGGGGACGGACTGCATGCAGGTGAGCTGCAGCCATCGGATGGTGGGTGTGCCCGCTGACCACTTGGAGTAGGAGTGAGTCAGAGCTGCAGTGTGCAGATTGAAGCCTGGTTGCTCAACAGTGAAGGAAATTCCTCCTTTGCTTTCGTTTCTTTTTTTTTTGGTGGGTGATTTTTGTGTTTTCGCCTGTTTTTGTTCCTTTCGTTCGTTTCCTCGTCTTCACCCCAAACAGGATAGGATAGAATCAGACAGCAGGTCGGTAACAGAACAGTAAGCAAGGAATCCAGTTCCTCCAACAAGGATGTAGCCAATCTCTAGGCGGGGTATAAATATCCCCGAGGACCCATAGATAAGCTGGCTACTATCGGACATGGGTCTGGCTCGTGCCAGTGTCGCAGGCTGGTCTAGCCTTTGCTGCGACGGGGCCGGGTCGGTGATAATAATGGTGACTTGTCTGCACCGCAGAAATATCCACAATTGCGCATGCGTGAAACCTTAATGAATGCATCAGAAGCTCTGCTCATGTCCCTCAGCGGTAGTAGTCGCTCGGCCGGTAGATGCGCGAGGACCGGTTGACACGCGCAATGCGGTCAGCGGCGTCGGCCTCATACAGAGACCCACGGCTGGGAGAGCTCCGCGGAGAGGTGTAGACGATGACCCGGTGACGCCTCAGAGAGCGTGGCTCTCGCTCAATGATTGCAGTGCAGGCCACATCCTCCTGAGTGGCAGTCCGGCGGACAGGGGCTGGTTCATGGCTGATTATCGGCCGCTCGCGAGCGGTGACTTCCTCCCTGGTGTTCACACGCAGACCATTTTCGATTGCTAGGAGCAGCTGGCGAACAGCGACGCACTTCAGGGGCACCCTGACCAGGGTGGATCGGTTGCGCTCAAGGTCAACAACGGAGTAGATCTTTCCGTTCTTGCTGCGGAGGTATTCGGTCACGTCGCGGGCATACTGGGCACCACGCTTGCAGAGCGAGCGCTTCTCTTCGTACGCGGTCATCGGGTCTGCGCATCGAGTGCAGTGGTCGGCGTGGCCTTCGTAGGCAGAGATCACGTAGCTCTCATCGTCCTCGGGGTCGCGCACGAGCACGACGGGCTCGGAGGGCTGCTCGATGGGAGCAGGCATGGTTGCTGAACGACGGAGGGGCGTTCGAGTACAATAACGAGGTCTTTCAATTCGAAGAGTCTCCTGAATGGAGTAGTAGAAGGGGGGCCAGAAACGGAGAGACTTGGAGGGCGACAGCGTGACTGGCGGATGGATCACGAGGACTATAACAAGGTAGTTTGGGCTTGTTCAAGCGCGATGAAGTTGTGAGTAGTAGAGATGTAGAAGTCTCTTGGTGGATTATATGTATGGATGTTTGAGTGAGGTGTGTAGTGAATAAGTGAATGGGGGGGGGTAGGTTAATGGGGGGGTGGGAGAGGGAAGTTATATAGTTGAAAAGGATGGAAGGCATCCATGATTGGCATACAGTGAATGTTAGAGCAGAGAGACAGTGGTCCCGGGGGCGCTAGAGCAGCCATGACGAATGGGTCACAGGCGGAGAGACTAAAAAAGTTTAGCAACAAGGAGATTTATTCTGAATTTCTTTTTTTCAGAATTTAGCAAACAGTAAGAAACTGTGGTGGAGGGAATGGCAGCCTGCGGGTGACTGCTAAGGCTCAACGGGAGCCTGCCTCAGGACGACTTGGGACTAGTGTGTAGTGGTACTAGTACTAGACATGGGGAGTGTGGCTGGTGCAAAGCAGGCAGTGCTGATCCTCTTAACTTGTATCTAGTTTGTTGTTGGTCCGGCGCCTGTTGCAACCCGTTCGCTCCTCACCCGCTTTCATGATTGGCCCTAACTTGGTCCCAAGCAACCCCCTCCTGTCAGACTAACCAGTCCCTGTGACTCCATTCGGGGAGACGATGGTCATGGCGAGTGGACACACTAGACACAATACAGTTAGCAATGACCGACTCAACCAGTCCAGGAGGGGAGTACTATACCTGTTTTAGGGTCGGGGAAGGGTCGAGTCATCGGGTTAAAGTTCGATGATGAAGTGCTCTTCAAGATGTGGCCAGCCCAACTGTGGCTTGACTCCTCGTGTCTAGAAACTAAGCCGCACGCCAGTAGTAGCCACCTTTCCTCCTCTCTGGTCTCTCAACACGAACTCCCCTAGTTCATGACACCATAATCCGCCCGTCTTTCAGGGACCGTCAGCATCCCCATCTCACCTCCGCCCATTGTTGGTCAGTATCCATCGTTGCGGTAGTCCGTTTCACGCGTTAACTCTCCCATGTCCATGCCAATGCTCATTAGCCATGCAGCCGCTCTCTCCTTTGACCCGCATTATCTGAGACGAGAGATGGTTCGGTTCCATTCTGTTGGTAACCTACAATATTGGCTTTCTCTCGATCGCTTCTATTCTATTTTTGCCTCGATCGCGACCGGCTAAGAATAGGTGTTTCGAACCTGTTTCCCCAGCGATCCAATACGAGCAGCCCCATGATCGCCAACTTCGTGGTAAGGAGATGTCTGAGCCCCAGACTACCCCTTACGCTAGCAGCCATGAAGTCATCGAGACCATGTGTCTCGATACCCTGCTGCGCCTCAGCCACAGGATGACTGGCCGAGAGCGTTCCTTTCTGCCACTCCGGCGCTACAGCCACAGTTCAACCCACGAGGTATCTGCGTGAGATCATGCATCCTGCAAGTGCTGATGGTTCTATGCCTTCCATCACTGATCGACCGTCCGATCGGTTCTATCTTTTCGTTTCGCTTGACGCGCGCGAGGGAGGATCGTCACCTCGTGTCCTATCGCGGTGACGCCAGTTTTTCGGAGGCTCGTTCTCGTTTCAGCTCTCCGTTCTTGCTGTACTACTGTCCACCAAATCCCTCGCTTTCTCAGGCTACAGCAACCGTACCAGTCCCTTGGGACTGCCTTGTGAACGTCCGACCGATAATGGCGCAACGGGCATGACGAGCATGCGCATGGTGTCCACCCTGCGGCTTTTTTGCATCCCAGACCACGGTCCCTCAGCCTACTAGGCTCCAGCGCGTCTATTCACTGGGTACGGTTGTCAGTTGGACACGTCCGGGAGAGCCAATGCTTACGGCGGATATATATAACGAATGTTGGTGAAGCCCGGGATAGCTTGTCTCATGATGGGCGTACCCACCATGCTCAATATGGAAGTCTGCCTTGCGATTGCCACTCATTAGGCGCCAACCTTCCCCATACCTTTCATTGACAACAGTGCAAAGAGGGTCGAATCGCCCATCTGATAGTAATCGTAACAGGAATTGTAGATGCTGTCGCCGTCTTATACCGTGTACAGAATGTGTCCTTCACCGAACTAGCCCGGCTAGCTCAATCGGTAGAGCGTGAGACTCTTAATCTCAAGGCTGCGGGTTCGAGCCCCGCGTTGGGCTTTTCTTTTTGCATTATGAAGATTCGCATGTGGTGGGTGATGCCACTGGAAAATTTTTGGTTCGGAAGCTTCAGTCGCTCCACCGGATCCACTTACCCAATCATCGCAGCTTCTCAGCCTTACGCTGGAAACAGGAGCCGACTCGGAAATAGATCATTGGGTATCCTTGCACTTTCACATGTGTGCGAATAAATTGCGTCTTCCCCATCATCAATTTTGATATCGAAGTGGCTGGAATTGACGCTGTGTGGCGTAGCAGTCCCTTTCCTCCCCATAAGGCTGCATACCTAGTCCAGCGGCTGAATGCATACCCAATCACCCACAGCTAGTCGACAAGCTTCTCAAGGATACACAGCCCCAACAATGACGACATCAGCCAGTGTTACGATAAATTGTCAAAAACAATGTCTCTGAAGGATATGACCATTCCTGGAGGTTGGACATACGTCACCCATTTCGGTGATCAAGCTGTATCCCGACTCAGTTACCTGCCAGCTCCGACTTACCAAATTGCGCAAGAGCTTGGGACCTATGCGTGTAACAAACCAGGACCAATGTCCCCGAATATCTAGGAAGCCTCGACCATCCCGTGGTTATACAAGCTCACCCAGCGGCAAGGCTTGTAGGCTCAACGGGGACAATGCTACAGCCGCAATGACCATCCGCGAGTGTCCAAACTTGGAAAGTCCAGAGATCGAGTTGCCGTGCAAGAGCAACACAGACACAGATCCCTTAAACTCGAGCACGCAGAGGCGAGTTACACATGCGTATCAGTGGTGCACACATCCCAGCTCCAGACTCAGCATCAGTACCCTCTCCAACGTTGACCATCTCGGGGTGGAGGCTCAGACCTGTACCACGACCCAAGGCAGGCCACCGTCTATATCCTGGTCATTCAGACCGTCCCACCTAGCCAGCTACATTCATTGCTGGTCTGTGTCCCGGCTATGCCTTGTGAGTTGGTATCGAGGCATGCATCACAACTTATCCATAGCGCCATCCGAATTCCTTGTTACTATCCGGGTTAGGAGACGGCTGGTGAGAGACCAACATCTACATAGATCCTTGCAGTCAGCCTGATGTTACCCGTACTGCCGGGTGCAGCCTTTTACCGAGACGAGTATGTTGAACAAGTGTTTGCGATCGGTAGCCTGGATGAATGAGGCATATACGGGCTGCCAGCTCAGATATCCCGATGGTGTCCTTGAGCGCTCTTCAACAAAGCAGAGAATGATCCACCTTGGGACGCTGAGTTACATGCAAGTGGACTGCGTCGATACCCGTTTATCCACATCCCGTACCGCTTCCCGGCAGTTTCTCGAAGTCGTACTGCTCTATTGACTGGCATTTACCACGGCATCCCGGCGCCCAGAAAAACTGCCATCATAGCACAGGCATCTGATTAACTCACAACCGTCAGGGAGATATAACCAGGTGAACTGAGAGTACACATCCTCTGTCGAACCAACGTTACGATGAACGGACATGTTATCCGCTCATACTCAGCATCCATACCAGTATAACGAATCAGAGACGAGCGAGAAAGGTAGCCTGTCACCGATGGATAGTGAGACAAACGTATATGTTCCGCATAGCTGTTTCGCCTCCTCATCCGGTGGATTCGTTATCCAGCAAATTTTAAAGAGCCTCCTCTCGGACAATGCGATGCCAAACGGGGAAAAGCGGGACGACCCATTGTGCACGGACGTGGTCCCTTTTCAGGGATGTTGCCGTGCCTCCATTCCAACTCGGATCATAATTGGCTTCATGATCGTTCAAAGTGGGGCTTGTCTAGCCCACATGAGTCGGTGAGTTGTAAGCTTAGATAACTGTGTTGTTACAGAGGAAGATTTACTGCTCAACAAATATCGGTCATTGCTCGATGGCAGCAATCAAAAGTAAACGAAGTGCAAATATCAAATTGCTTGCAGTATGGCAGCAAATGACTTTCAAGTCCTCGAGTTACACACACACACACCAGGTGATAAAATCGCACGTTCTGCTTACCTGCCCTGCCGCTCCTCCGCAGTGTGCTGTCCATCAGACTCCTCATACAGTGTCTAACACTGACTTCCAACCCTCCACCTTCAGCATAACCCAGCAGTCATCTACTTTAACTACCTTGAATCATGTCGACCGGAGTTATTTATACACGTGCAATTGACAGCAACCCCCCGTTATCAGATAAAGCAAAACTCTGCAAATGGGCGAACCAACACACACTCCATCCCGCACTGTGGACCCTGATCGGCACAGAAAACATCCAAGCCCCGTGCCCGTTCGTATCTCTACCTAAAAGCAGATGATCCCAATCAAACTAGAGCAAGCTAAGGGCCCCCCAGGAATCAGGATCACTTTTTGCAAACCCGAGGAGCTGAATAAGCGAGATGCGTCTGACAAGCAGGTCCGCGCGCATTCGACAAAATAATCAGCCTCGTCCCCTTACTTCCTCGAAGTTCTTCTCTCATCCTTTCGGCCCCGAGAATGCGCCTTGCCTCGGCCCTTTACCGTCCCCTACGCAGATCCAGTGCCAGTGCCAGTGCCATTCATTAAACCTACTACCACCATGTCTACCTCGGACATCAAAGGCTACGCCATTCGCCGCAATAATTCATGTCTAAGCGACGAAGTCGGATGCGGACGAACATGGGAAACCTGGCACGCTTGCTGCCCGTCCGGGTCCAAATGTCCCGGAAAAGAGTACTCGATTCAGAACAATGTCTGCTGTCCGACTTGGACGGACTGCACTTCCGAGATCAAACCTGCCACCTGCGCCAATAGCTCCTGGAATATGTACGACTACGATGGATATTTCTGCTGCACCGAGGACGAGAGTGGCTTCAGACTCAAGGGGACAGACTGGGTGGGCTGCTTGAGCCCCGACTCGCCGGGCAATGCCAGTTACAGCGCCTTGCAGTTGATCGCAACAAGTGAGTTAATCTACACTACAAGATAGATAGATACCATCAGATCCATCCCTAACATACGGAACCACTCCTCCTAGCCTCCTCAACCGCAACTTCAGCCCCCACATCCACAGCCGCATTAACCGCCACAGCATCAGCAGCAACAACCACAGCAGCATCATCCACCGGTTCCGGCTCAAGCACCAACACGGGCGCAATAGCCGGGGGCGTCGTCGGCGGTGTCGCCGGCGTCGCAGCAATAGCCGGCCTTCTTTTCTACTTCCTGCGACGGCGCAATAAGCAACGACCGGAGTCGCAAACACAGATGCATCTCCAACCACAGGACCCTAGCCCTCAATACTCGGCATACGCCTACAGTCAGACTCAGCAACCATATTCCGCCCCAGCGAGCGAATTAGATGGCCAGTCTGCGCCTGTGGAATTACCCTCGAATAATGGTCCGAAAGCTGAGTTGGCGGGGTATCGGTGATGAATGAGCATTTCTAGGGATGGGAATTTTGCATATAGCGGACCTCGTAGAGGTACTGCTTAGTACTTTCTGTTAAATAATCTTTTTTATGTGTCGGGATAGGGTGCCGCGGGTCGGCTACGAGGATGAAACTATGCAGATAATTTCATACATTGTTAATCTGCACATATTATGGACTATTGAAGATGAAATTCTTCTTGGTTATATGCATCTTCGAATTGAAGAGTTGGTCCGTCTCAGTTGGACCTTTTGTGAAGATGATATGTTTGAGTTAACATGTCTGTCTGTCTTTATTTCTGGACTGGACATTAAGGAGAAAATAACCACCAGATAAATCTTTATATTCATCACTCTATATATCTATACCCTTCAATGTTAAATCGAGACCAAGTCAACAAGATACTAACCAACTGAGGAATATATAATATAATCCCACGCCACCCTTTCAACCTCCACAAGAACAATTGAAACCTCGAGTCTTCTAATCTAGGGGAATGCTACTTCCGATCAACTAACCTCAACCACCCATATAAATATATTCATTGATCAACACCCCCTTATGAAAATTATGTACTACATACAAAAGACAGAGTAGAGTTTTGAACATTGACACACATCATCCCTCATCCTCCCTCACCCCTCATACTACCTCCCCCGCTTCCACCCTTCCCACCCCCAATACCCATAGGTTATCTAAGTAACAGGACACCAATCATAATTCCCGTTCGAATTATTCCCCCACCAAGAGGGAAAATCATGCGCGACACCCGCAGCGCCAAACACCGCAAAGGACAAAATAAACACGATGGTCAAACTAGCGCCATCAAACGCACCCGTAATCAAATACGAGTAATCCTTAAAGATCCTCGGATGATAGTTCCTCAGATAGTACTGCACGAAGAGGCCTGAGAGGACCCAGCTGAAGAGCACGCATGTTTGCGTTTGGTTGTAGGGGATGTAGCCTGCGTATTGGATGAATTGCGGCATGTTGACTTCCGAGACGTCGAAGTTGCGGATTTTGGGGACGAACTGTATACATTCATAGATAGATGGGTTAGTTGGGGTGGGTGTACAGATGGGGGTATTGGGGGAATGGACATACGTAGTAGAAGAGACGGTGGGCGACGACAGCTGCGGCGCCGATGGCTAGACCGATGGGAACCATGGCGTAGGGAGTGCCGGAGCGGTAGAGGTAGGAGGCAAGAGCCCAGGAGGCGGCGTTGGTGTTGTAGGATTGCATGGTGGCGCCGCTCCAGGAGGAGTTGCCGTTGCCGTTGGAGAGGAGGGCTTTGTTGCCGGTCACGATGGAGATCATGATGGCGTAGTTGATGAAACCGCCCAGGATGGTGCCGTAGATTTGGGTGAGGAACATGACTCGTGGGGGGATTTTTACTATTGCAATGGGTTAGACTTTGTGCTAGGGATATGGGGGTTCGTGAGATGACTGCTTACGATATTCGCCCATCTTCAGGTCGTTGGATAGGTTCACTGCGTTGGAGATCACGTTGTGGGACCACGCTGCAAAGTACATGTTCCCGACGGGGCGCCCGGGGAGCATCAGTCCTGCTAACATCTTTGAGAGGTTGTTGGTGGCGATTCCATTGCCGTAGCGAGAGTAGAGGATGGTACTCTGCCTTTGTTAGTGGGAGTGAGAGTGTTGGTTATGGGGTACTCACAAAAGGCGAGATGATGATTCCGACAATCAATGAGACAATGTATGCCCAGGCGGGAAGGGTAATGTTCTCCTTGAGAACCACCACCAGTCCGAGAACAAAGCTGATGACAAGCACCGCAACGTACCACCACCACGGGGTTTCCTTGTAATGCTTGGCCATGTGCTCGTGGTGACGATCGTCGTAGCGACCTTGTCTGGCGCTCTGGTATGCCCGCTTGATATCGCCGCCCCAGAAGATGATACAGTGCATGATGAGGGCTCCAATCTAGAAGAGGTTAGCTGGATCAATTTGCACAAAATTCTGGCGAACTTACAGCAGCGTTGGCCATGAACATAGCATATGCAAATGTTCCAGTTAGTCTGGGTATACCGTATGTAGCCAAGGCAGATTTGTCGAGCACGCCGTCAGGGAAGACGCTGGAGACTGGATACGAGGTACCATTCGCCATGAGAAGCTCCGTGGACATGAATGGAAGGGATCGGGCGTTCCAGCCGTTTCCGTAGTATATGGCTACCATGATGATGAAGCAGAAGGCGATGCCGATGTCCTGGTGAAGCTGGAGCTTGAGAGGAAGGGAGGTTTGGAACGAGGTGATCTGCGATAAGTCAGTCTTGACGATTTGTTGATAGACTAATCATCCATAATCCATACATATTGCCAGTCGAAGCTGAGAGAGAATAAACCCATTCCTTCATTCGTAGTGGCTCCACCGAAAACATTGGTGAGTACAGCACCCTTTTTGCCGGTTGCTTTCTGGGAAGCTAGACACTAGCGCTGTGTTAGTACACCCTGCACACCAAAGGTGGAATGAACAACGTACCGGAATAGAAACGGAGTTAAGCCACGGGAATATGTATGCAGGAATAATCTCATACAGCGACATGCCAGTAAAGGCATACCAGAAGTACCGGAGCGGCTTGGAGTTCTTGACCTGCTGCCAATGCAACCCTTGAAGCGTCTTGACAGTAGGAAGTGTACTCCAGTAGACCGCCTCAACATGCCAGACGGCAATAGGTCGCATAATGCCACAAAGACCATAACCGAACAGACCGATCGAAATGGTGCTGAAGATGACAGTGACGGCACTAAAGGGCATGTTGTAGAAGAGGTTCTGCGCCGCAAATACCTCCGAAGATGCAGAGGCATTGGAAGCAGATGTGGCCGTGATAGCGCAAATAGCGTGCTCCTTCAGGGTCCACGGTCCGGGATTCACAAACTTTATCCACCTAATATGCCATGGAAGCTTTCCCTGACCACCATTCTCCCTCCAACGAGCCTCAAACTTGTCTCCCCGAGGGAGGAACCTGGCCCAGGCATTGCCGACAAAGTAAGCGATCAGGACGATGAAAGTTCCTTGAATGGTGACGGCAGTAGGTTTGAACTGTGGACAGGTGTCAGCAGGGTGTCAACACATCTGCACGACGGCTAAGGTGTCTTGTGCTACCATGTAGATTTGGTTCATGACCGCCTGGAAGCACGCCAGACCGGAGGCGAGAATGATACTCCGAAATGTCAATGCACTGTCGAAGTCATCCCTGAGTGGCAGCAGGTGAGCGGCAGCGTCTGCACCAGTGATGATAATGGCGTCTTCGCTCTCGCGATCCTCTTCGCCGCTCAGCTCATCACCGGTGATCTTGTGGTCTTCTTTGCCAGCGAGCACCGTGACAGCGGATTTCTCGTCGACAGCATCTGGGTGGGGGATTGAAACGCCGTCACCCTCTCGGGCTGCACCGGTCGTGATTGCAGACATGTTGGCAGGGGGCTCACTTTTCCAGAGGCACGGGGAGGAGAAATCATTGCCACAAGGTGGTCCCTAGGGGTCTTTTTATATTCTCACCCCGATAAGGGTGAATTGCCATTGGTGCCATGCCACGAGTGAATTGATGATACCACAAACCACGGCGATTAGCCATCTTGCTGAAAAGGGACTGGGAGGTGGCCCTGCGACAGGGCTAGGGGAATTTAGTGAGAGGGTCGTTGGATGCACAACGCTCCGGCCTCTGCGCCGGTGGATTCGCTTCTTCTCGAACGCTTCCGAGCCCTCCAATCGACGGTCGTTCCCCTCACCTAGCGAAGGACCGAGTTTAGATAACCGACCTGCTAGTCCACCCTCCTTCGGGCCACCATTGGTGCAGGAATGAACCGAAAGCATGTAATTCTACCGGGAAGTCACCTGGCTATCCGAGTTACATCCGAATGAACTGTAGCGCGTGTTGTAAAATCTTTGAAGGGCTGCTGGAGATGCCATCGCGTGTGCTGCTGACGCCATTCCGTAGCGGCAATTTCGCCCCAAGCAATATGTGGCACTTTTGATTTTCGAGGGGTGCAGGGGTATCCAGTACCTGGTACATCAATTGCTACCCTGAATTCCTTCACTCTAGTAGATTCATGCATATATTGAGGGGTCCGGTAGAAGAGTTGATAAGGCTTAGGGCGTGACAGGCGCATCCAGATAGGCAGAGGGGGTGTTGAGTCTGCCGTTCAGAGGAAGTTCGATGCTGGGCACGATAAGAGAAAACAAGAGTCAAGGGGATTCGTTCCAGGCGTCGGAACTCCTACGGAGCTCCTGCAGCACACCTCAGCTCGCCATCCATGCATTCAACGAAGTGGCACACCCCCGCGCTAGTGGCGACACCAGTGCGACCCAGGTCCCTGTTCTTCTCTCGCGCGGAGGATTGGTGCAACCCTTTGTCCTGTTCAAGAAAATGGACGAAGGCACTCGAGCCAGGATTCATAGTGTGCTGGCCAATTTCAATCCCTGAAATAATATGGAATTGGTCAGGTGTACTGTATCAGACCACCATTGACCCATTTGTCCATTGGGATAGGGTCTTGCGCCATTCGATAGTCCCCTCTCGAGGAGAACATCCATCCAATGAAAAGCGATCCATTGAGCATCACACAGGGTTACTTCCGACCGAAACCTGGCCGTTCCGATGGAGACCCTAATTGCTGTGTCCCACGTGGTTGCTACTTCCTACAGTGCTGCTTTTGTCGAAGATTTTCACTCCCCACCTTTGTTGTCCACCTGGTGTCTGCCTGGCTACTTCGGCTAATCCGACTTTGAGATAGAGCAAGCCAATCATGTTTCTCATACATAGAAATAGGCATAAGATGCCAAGCCAGATAGCGACGAGGGACGATCCTATCGATAGCCAATGCCTGCCCCAATCTGCCTGCCGATAAACACTTCCCCAACCGTTATCGCCCACACGAACAGAGTTCCAACCCGCACTTCTTAGCTGGATAAGAACCGATACCCTAAGCACCCCAGACAGCGGCGACACATTTGCCAAGGTTTGTTATCGGTCCAATAAAAGCTATCACATGAAATAATAACATAACCTAAACCTATGCTCTCTCCCAGGCTCGGTATAGCTGCCGGAAATTGCATTCCCGTCCCAGCAATGCATGCGGCACGTCGCATTCAAGCATCTCCCCATCCTTGAGGAACACTACCCGATCGAACCGATCGATGTAAGCGAAGCGATGAATGACAGCAATCACGGTTTGATGGCGAAAATTCTGCTCGATAATTTCTTGCATAAATGCTTCTGTCTCTCGGTCGACGCTACTAGTGGCCTCGTCGAGGATGAGGATGGGTCGCGGGACCACAAGCGCCCGGGCGAGCGCAAGCAATTGTCTTTCGCCCACTGACCAGGTGGAGATACTGGACATGTCCATATCTAGCCCCCCGTCGGTACTGATTCGATTCCAAAGACCTACCTTCTGAAGCCCAGAAGTGATGCGTTCATCAGTGGTCATTCCGAACGGATCCAGATTGAAGCGAACAGTGCCGGAGAGCAGAAACGAGTCCTGCGGGATAACGTTGATAGCAGAGTGAATAGCTTGTCTCTCGAGCTCCGATATGTCGCAGCCGCCGATCGATATTTTTTGGACTGGATCTCGCTCATACGAAGAAGCGACATTATTATAGATGACTTCCCACTACCTGATGCTCCGCAGATGGCTACCTTTTCACCATGGCGAATAGTGAGCGACAGATTCTTCAGGACCGGCGGGCTGGCTTGGCTATGGGTATGGATTATTAGCTTTGTGTGGAGAGCAGGGAGACACCGGCGATTGGGCTGAAGGCAGATGTTGCGTGGCTAAAGAATTGGAAAGCTTACCTGTATCCTGCTGTTACATTCTCGAATGCGATTGTAAACTGAGAGTGACCCGATACTCCCAGAAGTACGCTCCCCATGAGGTCATGGTTTGCCTCGCGAGGAGTGTCTCGCACAAATCTTTGAACTCGCGAAACTGCCCCGATGGTCGTCTCAAGACTAGTCCAGGACCGGAGAGTGCTCGAAATAGTGCTGTTGAAGGTTAGGATCAAGCTGAGAGTAACACCGACCGCCGCACCGTTATATTGGTCGGCCAAAGAGGTTGTCATCGCAACAATAATCACTGCCAAAGCCGCAACAATCAGGCCCATTACAAGGGTCAGCCATTGCTGTATGCAGTACAACATATAAAAAGGTCTTTGTGATTTATCGAGGAGCATGTGCAGTTTCTCCTGGAACCAGGGATTCATGCCGAAAGCACGGAGGGTGGTGACCCCATGAACTGCTTCTGTGAAATGCGTAAACAGGGGAGCCTTGGCTTCCAAATCCACCAGCCGTACCTGCCGAGAAGTGCGAAGGTAATATCTCTGGAGTATCACTAGGCTGATCAGAAGCGCTGGCACTGCAACTGCGAGGTACTTGCTGACGATGCAGAGGATGACCAATTTGACCACGCAGCTTGCGAATCCTATAATGGCTGGCGTTAGCATCTTGAACCCGGTCAACCCCCAAACCCCACGTTTTCGATCGCTGAATAGGATGGTAACCAAGGAAGCAAAAACGGGCACGGGTATTACCTGTCAAGTACATAGATGCTATCAAAGGAAGCATCATGTCAATCAACTCCATATCTTGACTAAACCTATTATGTCAAGGCGCCTATTTTTTAGTGTCCTGGAAGAACCTCAACGGTGCACTATCACGGATGGTTAGCGTAAGCGTGTAGAAGTATGGGGAGAATCTTCAGGCGTACCTCAGCGTCGCAGTGAGAAGGTCTGTATGGAGATTGAACGCAGTATTGTTGATTATATTTATAATCAGAAGCCTGTGAAGGTCATGAACACAAGTTATTTATTTAGTAGTCGGCGAAATAATCCTGAATAATAGACAATTACATACCACAATCCACCCACATTGCCTACGAGTTGTACCACGAAGAGCGCAGCATACACTCCCAAATACACACCCGCGTCTTTGTTGGGACTCCTTTCGTTGGCCTCCACCCACCACTGGATCCATAGAGCTAAGGAAGACCGGGAATCAGTTGGGAAATAGAAACATAGAACTACAGATAATTTGGACGTACTTGTGAAGTCTCCACTGACTGCTTCCACAACAATGAAAGCCAGACAGGTTGCAAACGGAATGAATCCAGCACTCCTAAAATAGTATTTGTACACAGACCAAGTTCCTTCGCGTCGCAGAGGGCTCTGAGAGTCTGGAACTGAAGGCTTCGCAGCGGTATTGCTCAGCTCATCACCCTCTTGCGTCGCGGATGCCGCGTGGTCTGCAGTTCCGACGGTGCTCACTGGGGACTCGGTGCTTGCGGGCTTGCTGAGCTGCATCACATTCTCAAACGACCCAGTCTGCCACGATTCTACCTTCCTCAAGAACGACAATATCGTCCGCATATTGAAATAAATGTTCTATCCAACAATCAGCATATAACAGCTTTTGCGTTCGAAAAGGCCGGCCCCGCAACTTACCTGTATGAGTGGCTAGAAGGACTGTCATCCCAGGTCTGCGAAAGTATCCATTCGGGCCGAAAAGACGCGTAGAAATAATTCTGGTGTTGCTCGAGTCAAGTCCACTGAAGACATCATCCAGGACGACCAGCCTTCTTCTCGAGTAGATAGCACGGCACAATGCAACCCGCTGCTTTTGGCCGCCACTAAGTGAAAGGCCATTGGTCCCTGCACGATACAGATCACCACCCGGCATATCTGACAGGTCTTCTTTGAGGCCGCAAGCCCATATGGCAAACTCATACCATTTCGGATCAAATGGCGACCCGAATGTAATGTTCTGGCGCACTGTATCATTCATTATGAAGGGGGCTTGGGAACAATACGCCATTTGGTGATCTTCAACCCGCACATCCCCAGATTTGATCACTGTTTCACCCAAGAGACTACAGAGCAAGGTGGATTTTCCGGAACCTACTGGTCCAATTAGCATGGTAACTCCCGATCCGACACGCAAGGTTATGTCGTGAAGCTTATTTTCGCCAGCCTTTGCCCACCCAACATTAGCTCGCTCGAAAGAGACAGGCGTAGCACTGTACTCTGATTTTGGTTGAAATGATCGCAGCTCCACGTCCCGATCATTATCTGTGAGTGAGAGCACAGGGGATGATGCTGTATGCGTGACAAGCCCAGCGGGCTCTTTTTCGCAGTATTCTTCAATGCGAAGATAACACGACATGGCTTGACGCACAGAAGGCACAGCCTGGACAAAGGTGATGAGTGGACTGGTAACGAGGGAGATCAACGAAAGAGACGTAAAGGCCTGACTGGAAAGTAATGTCTTATCGTGCTTTACCACCGCGATGATGGTGTAGACAGCGAAGGTTGCGAAAGGAGCGAATTCAGTGGGCACGTTAGCTGTGGAAGATCAGTTTCAGTAACATTAGTCGGAGACCCTCTTTCCGCACATATAACAATTTCCCAGATGAGCAGCTTCCGGAACCGCTCAGAGATTTTGAGCTCAATTTTTCGTAGCTTGGACGTGGTGCTCAATAGGACCTGAGAAAGTCCGAGCATCTTGATGGACTTGATGTCGCGTAGCATGCTGGACGTCGCTGTCACTCGGGTCTGGACGCGCTCAATCCATTCCTTTTGAGCCTGTCCTGATCGGGCACTGTCAGATCTCTTAAACTCGTAGTAAACACACAAAAACAACACATACTACGACGTAGAAAGATCATCATCGTAGTTTAATATAACTAAATATAATAAAAGCAAAATATAATTATATAAAAACAGATATAAATAAGTATCACAGCTGACTGGCCAGCTGCCTGTAAGTTACTATTCTATTTATTCTTCATCTAGACTCTGCTTCTAATGTATATATTCATTGTAAGATACATGGCCTTTCCTGTTAACTTAAACAGAATATATATAAATCTTTCTATCTAGTATTTTTTAATATTTATTTCCATAGCCCTGAGGCCTACATATTCCGGGCTTAAATTAAAATTAAATTTAAAATTAAATTTAATCTAACTGAACTGCCTGAGTAAGCTTATTTATAATATAAATATAGTAATATTGTGAGAGCCGATCAAATATGTCTTATTTAGTGTATCTAGACTAGAATATCGAACATGAGGAGGAAAAGAAGGAAGTATAGAAAAATATATATAAATAACGAAGATAAGTAAATAAAGTAAAATAAATAAAGTAAATAGAATTATATTATATAATCCAGTTATATATTTTTGAATACTGCTTATTATTATATTACTCTTTTTATTAGAACTGGCTGTTCTCAGCCAGCAGAATATTATCATTCTTATAATCTAATATAAACTTATCAGTCTCAGCTGCGGTGAGCCACTGCAGCAGTTTTTTAAAAGAATCAGAACAAGTGGGATTCTTTATATAATAATTTTATAATTAAAAAAAAGTATTCTTAAAATTCCCAGTAAAATATTATATCATAGAATATTGCTGAGAACTATGTAGGTATCCTGGGCAGGAATCATGGGTTTGGTCATGGTGGGTAAATATTGGAGTTAAGAATCAGAGGTTCGTGGTCGAGGGATAGGAGACGTGATTGTTGTTGATTACACTTAATTTAGGTGCATCTTGCACTGCTTTTACTTTAATCAAAGTGAGATGCTTTTGTTGCCAAGCATTTTCTTCGGAGGAGTGGAGGTCCTTCGCCAGGAGATGTTCTTATCCAGGTAGCGTCGGAGGAAGAAACCGCCTGCTTGCCAACTCAACTGAAACCGCGCAAACGGCCACAGAGTCCTTGGTTCAAGCTAAGCGGTGTTTCATAAAGCATTATCCAAGATGGGAATTATTTCCTGACCTCCGATTGGGATATGGAATTCCTTTCATCACAACGTCGTGCCTGGCCATGAGTGATTCCGCCCCTAACGAGCCCCCTTGATTTTTTTTATTGACCAGGGTTACATATTTGTGGGAGATCTGTAGAATGAACACGAGCCGACCTGACCCCCGGGCTAGAAGCTCGTGGTATTGGTATGGACAGACATCTCCTCATCATTGCTCACAGCGCCACCAAATCTCGCGCCCTGCTTATAGATAACGTTTAAGAGGAGCCAAACTTTGAATTCGCGTTGCGAACGTACGATGCCCGACGAAGTAAGTCACGATGGGGAACATGCATAGTGACGAACACTTGTACTCGAAGCGGATAGTCTCTTGAAAAAGATTTTAATGAAAAGGAGTTGGTTTGATGCCTATCTTTGGCTGCTGGAGGTGCCAATGCACAACTCCAGACTCTGGCCCCCTTATCAGTAAATGTAGAGACCGGTTCAACCGTTGAGTGACCTGGTGATACACTTGATCTGCAATGAGTGTAATGCAAGCCAGTATCTATCTCCAAATCATCCACGTGGCTCAAGAATGGGCGTATCAATGTTATATTGTGTGGGAATCTCGTCAGCTGCCTCTGGATATAGCTGATAGGTCCCAGTGTGTGCGGCTAGTTAAGCACACTTCCTAGAGGGGCAGCAGATTGCATGGGATTGCGATAGGGAGTCCAAGCATCCACAGTGTCAGATGCGGCTTCGTATGGGGGGCTAAACCGGGAGAAAAGCTTTCAAATATCACAGGGAGAAGTCTTAGGTGGGAAACAGACGACGTGCTGAAACATTAACAGACGGTGAATAAAAGGGTCTCTCTTGGCCAACATCGTAGGCGACGCGACGGCAGAGAAATTGACTCGCATCGGCGCTGCGACTGATGCAGGGAACCATGTCGTAGCAACAGCAACTATGTGCGGCGAATTCGATCCTCAATCCGTTAATAATCATTGGTACGAGCTCATTCCAGCCATTTTTGGGTGTACTTTGTTTTCGCGCAGTGGTGGTGTCGGTGTAGATGGGGGATCGGACGCGATGAAGATCTCCGGGCGCACAATGTGCAATGCAACGTGCAATAAAAAATGTGGGGTCTCAGGAAGAAAGCCCTCGTGAGGTCGCCCACGAGGCATCTACGAAGGATTGGCTACAGACGTTGTGATTGGCCAGTGGGTGCTGGGAATAGCTCCGAGTCCATTTTCTATATTACGGTATTTGACCATACGGCCGATTACGTGATAGATTACATAGATTCCTGTATATAGCAAAACTCGCAGCCGGATGGCCTCCCTGTCACAGGCGCTCGGCCGGAGATCCCCAAGGGACCTGCATCCCAGTAAGGCTTCAATCAATCAGTCGATCGATCGATTGATCGATCTCCGGGTGCGGGTCTCCACAGTCTACGCGTGTCAAAAACCCTGCGAACCATCATCCGATCGGTTATTGCCGATTGAACAAACCAGCCAATCAAAGACATAGTCGGGCTATCTTCATCCCTCAGCCCCTGATTCACCGCACGCAAACTCAGTACTAGCTAGCAGGACCGGAGGCTCAGTCCCCCGGAATGTGGAGCCCGACGAACATGTTCAATTTCATTGCCGATATATGAAGACAATGTCATCTAAATCTAGGGAAGATCCTCAGTGATCTTGATTAGAGGGCACGCGCTCTGTTGACACTAACCCTTAAACGTCATGCCCCCTACACCGCGAGGCTTTCGCTGGCCATTTCGACTCCTCCGCTTCGGCGCATCCTCGGTCGCAACATCAGCTTCACCCCAAGGAGCGTAGAACCTCTGCACTCGGCAATTTGGGTTTGAGCCAATTGGCCCCGAGACCGAACCTTTGTTTCGTAGTGGACACTTCACTGCACCTCGGCGGCGTATACGTCAATTGCTGGAGTCCTCTGCTCTATTTTCGTAATCTGTCAGCCTAGTTGGGATACTTATCTTCATATTACGTGCTAGAGCTCCACGTGACAATGCGACCCAATCGGTGAGATGAGATCACTCGTTTAGCTAGCCTCCGGGCCCTATTCTGGCCTGAGCGAAGGCCGGTGTGCAAGCAGCTATCTTCCGATAACGTCTTAATCAAAGACTTTCTAGCCTGGACCAAGTCTCATAGCGGAGTCTCTTGCCCGATGCAAGTTGTGATATTTAACCTACAGCCTGGTTTTAGCCCTTAACTTGAGCGAAAGCTAACCACCTGGAGCAAAGATCAGCTTTAGAGGTTCAATGGCTATGGTGCCCTTTGCATTGCCAGAAAATCTTGACTAGTGGGCTTGGGCTAGATAGCCAACCTCTCTCAAGTAAGGTTGCGCTCTGCCAATCCTCTAACTTACTGCTTCATCCAATATTCGCCGGAGACTTGTTCATGGTCCATGTACGTCCCATCATAGTGCTTCGCCTCCCGATCCTGCAATGAAACTACTTACATGCCACCTGTTCAACATGAGCAACAGAGCAGTTCTACTAGCAAACAGGTAAGGTTAAATTATTTGCTTTACAAAAAGCCCACCGGGCCTCTTTGACTAATGATCATCGCCTGGGAGTTCTATAGGAGAAACCGTATACAGTTTGATAAAAGGCCTTAACCCAGAAGCACATAAAATTCCTCTTAACTACAGGCTATCGATCTCCTTGTCTAATGTACGGGCTAGGAGCTCCTGCAGGCGCTCCGTATTTCCCTGTTGCTCGAGGCCATAACTCTCGGGATCCATTTCCAGGAATCCCATGATGGGTTCTCCGTCCTCAGCGACCGGGTTTGCATGCGTGGGAAGAGCTAGGCGTTCTAAGCTCTCGTTCAGTTGGTCCGCGTTGACCATGATGCCGCGCCGGTTCAAGGTCATGGAGTACTCGATCAGCTCTGCCCGGGCAACCTCCCACTCTTTCTTGACTCCAGTTAGCTTATACCATGAAATCGGGGCTGACACAACTGAGTTCGGACAAACCTTGTCCAGGAGGAAGGACAACTGCTCCGACCTCCTCTTTGAGCCCCCACCATACCCGTGCGTCAAAGTGCTGATCATAACCTTTTTCAATTCTCGGTAACAGAACATGGCGGAAAATAGCTCAGTCTCATCACTCAGCTGGTTGCGGATGGCCTGTGTTGTCAGATACCTCACTGAACGAAATTTGGCATTCTCCGCCATCTGAACTTTCACGTTCAGTGGCCCGAAGGAAGTAAACGCTTGTAGTTTCTTCATCTAGTTGCCGTTAGTGAGAGTTATGGAACAAATGTGAAAATTCTTGCCAAATAGTCAAGGTCATTATAGGCGGAGAGCTCGCCCCTGAGGCAGGGGCCCGCATAGCCCACGACCAACTTCACAACTCCGGCCCAATTCTTTTGCTCAAAGCGTGCCAAGTACGTATACATGGCCTCAGATCGGCGCCCTCTACACTTACCTGCTTTTTATCGGTTGGTAGTTTTAACTAACAGTATCATAAATAGTTATTAGTTCTCTCTCTCTCCGGACACAAAGCAGATTGACATACCTGCTGTTTCACCACGGTAACGTCCCTCCACAGAGGTTCAGTCTCGATGTACGTCCAAAGTTGCTCCATGAATTTACCGATATGGTCTGGGAGAGAAGTGATAGTAAACTTTGGTTGGATATTAGTCGATCCCTCGTCAACATGCCTCCATGGCCGTGGGTTAATCTCTGCTCTAAAGGCAGACTTTCCTAGTTCCTCTACCCAATCCCAATTTTTCAGGGCGTTGGATGAAGATCTGGGGTACGAGAAACTCTGATCCGTCCAATAGATCACATGTTGAAGTACTTTCTTCATAGGCTGCGCTATTAGTCGGTTCGTTCGAACAAAGTCACTCCTATATTTGTTAGCAGGCATTGGGAAGGTTTTAGCTGGAGCCCGCGTACCATCTGGGGCAGGTTAGGCCGGGGTTTTGTTGCATGTTGATGAAAACTTTATGATACTCGACATCGGAAAGTTTAGTCAAGAACCCGGGACGTCTGGTGTTCACTTGAGTTGAACCTGTAGTGAACGTGTCGCCTGCGAGGCGGGGCAGTGTCCACTGGTTGAACCATTTCTGGTTTAATGATAATAGGCCAGTCAGACTGCCATCCTCGTGGTCTGCCTTGGTCGGAAAGAATAGTCTCCTCAAGAAATCCGCTCTTGGACCCTTTTCCATCGCTGCCAGAACAGTTTCCCAGTCCGCAGATGTCACCTTTTTACCCTCGAAAATCCGATCGCCGAATGTCAGAACGAAATCGATTTCTCGCGCCCACAACTATACGAGAAAAACTATTAGTATCAGGCTAACTTGGAAAGACCATCCGTGACTTACTTTTTCCAGCTTCGTGCTGGCGATATCCTCCGCAGTTGTGAAATTAAAGTATTTCTCCCCATAAGGTGTCATAACGTAGCTGCGCCACAAATCTCTCCAAAAGGGTGCCGTGGTAATCGCAAGAACTCGGGGCCCTTGTGATCTGTTTAATCCATACGTACTTTGTAACCAAGGCCCGAAGTTTCCTGCTTTCAGCAATTGTTGCCGTTCGTTCTCGGTCTTTGCGGCTAGATCGTCCAATATGGATATAAGAACATAGCCATCGGAATCGCTCTTGTTCGGATCGTCACGGTTTCCCTTCAAGGTGGCCAAAAGATCGCTTTGCATCTTTTCTTGCTCGTAGATGTCGAACGCCCAATAATAAGCCTGGTTAGATGTTAGTTTTCTGACTCAAGTTTAGTTTCGTTATGCTTACCTGAGGAGAAGGATGGAGAAGAGGGCTGCCATCAGGCGTGAGTCCACCTTCGGTCGCAGCTTTCTCCTGCTCAGCCAAAAGTGTCGATAGTGCGGATCGCCTATGTTGCCCCGCAATCAGTGCAGGAAGTGGTAGACCTCCTGGCCACGTATCCAAGTGAACAAAATCATGTAACTGCCCGCCGTCAGCGTTGGTCGCTTGGCTTCGCGCCATATCGACAGTCTCTGGATCAGAATTTGGACCAGCATAGGCCGCGAGGAAGGTTTTGTAGTCATCTTGCTTCATGCAAGCTTTCATATGAGTTTCTCGAAAGAACCGACGGACGCCCAGCTTGAAGCTGGCAATTAGTTCGCCGACATGTCTCATGTCAAGTTCCCTGTTCGTGTACGTCTCAGTATCAAGGAACCTTACGTCAAAGGCTATAGTGCCCAGGTAGGCATCATGGACCGCTTTCTGATTAGCGTCATCTTTCAGCTCGGTGATTGTGGCAGCCTCATCTAACTCGAGTGTGTTGCGCCGACGCTTCGCCATCGTCTTTAACAGTAGATGTGCTTTTGGAGGAGCAAAAGAAGTAGTTTAGATGCTGGTACTACAGTATTGAAGAAAACGTAGGATGAGAAGCTGAGGTCAGGCTAGGTTGACAAGTTGAGAGAAAGAAAAATTGAAAGGTAGGATGAGGAGGTGAGGTCAAGCGACGCGGATTAGGTGAGAGAAAGTCTCAAGAACGCAAAACAACAGAGACCGAGATGGTGTTACTCCCAAGTAGTGAATTGCTTTCATTTGGTATGTGCTTTCCAGGGACTGTGTGGGACGCGTTGCGATATACCCGGCATGTGATAAAAAAAATGAAATACCGTTAGGGAGATAGCAAGCCTCCTACATTGCAAATCTTCATCTACGAACTACGGCCAAGACCCTGGGGACTGCAGATTCTCTTTCGATAAACCTAGCTAGAGTTAAGCCATCGGCATCATATAACAAGTTCACTAAAAAGCTCAGTAGCCATGGTCGACATTCCACGAGCTGAGTGCATCTGCCATAGCCTTTTGGAAATATGACTTCTTAACCTCTCTCAAGTGAGATTTGCTAACCCGTTCTGAAATTGGTGTAGTGATTTCAACTGAATTATCGAGACACAGATCGTTATCATCATCCTCATCATCGTCTCCATCGGCTGGCTGCCAGCCTGCACCAGCGCACATTGCAGCCAGCCGATGGAGTGTCCACTGGAGGGCAAAGAGACCTTCATCAGGAAGCTGTAGTTTTTGGGGATCTGATGTTGTGATAATAATGGTATCCCCCGAGTAGATGACAGTATCTGAATCGTTATTGTAGAGTTTCAGATTAGGAGTGGCTACATCAACATGGTGCGCTCTTCCTCCCTTCTGGCTTGTTTCAGGCATCATTATTGGTGATATAGTAGAATTTCCTTCACTGTCATTGATCAGGAGCAAGGAATTGCCGGTAGCGGGAAGTCCCTTGCCACATAGCCAGTAAAAATGCAATTCCATGGACTTATGGTCTTCTGATACCCGGAATGGCATCAAACCAAACAGCGCTCTGTCCCAATATGTATGACAATTGGGACTCAGAGCTACTAGATTTCCTACTGACATGAGGATACTCTCCTTGCCTTCGAGCCATCTCTGGATTGTCTCTTGCGACCAAAACATCCTCAGCAAGGCTTTAAATTCGAGGAACTTGAGCTTCTTGGTAGGTGTAGTAGTGTCACAAACCGAAGCCGGTATTATATGGGCGGCATGCAAGGGATCTGTCGCCTTGGAGATGATACAAACTCGATCCCGATCAAGGCACTGCACCTGAGTTAGAGTCAGAGCAAAGGGGATCACAGGGAAACAAGTACTAACAGCCTCACTCAAGTCTTTCCTGTTGATCTCCTTCTTAATCTTACTTGATATACTGGGAGAGCTAGGAGGCTCCATCGCTTCATATTTGCGCTTCTTTGCGACGGGCTGGGTTGGGGAACTTTCTGTAGGCGTCGTAATTGGCGCTATACGAGATGCCGTAGGACTGTTTGCTAAGGAGCTTTCCATACTCCGTACTGGGGTGACTGCTCCTGTCCCTGGTTGTGACGCTGCGAACTTTCCTCCTATTCCAGACCCAGGTAGATCTATAATCCTAGGTGAGCCCATTTGCTCGTAAGCAAAGATACTATACATACACATTGTAAGAATTCTTGCGAAGCTCCCCCCGTTGTGTCGCAACAACGTAGACATCACATCACGATCAAATTCTCGGGAATACCATTGGAGTTCCGATATATCTGCGAGCCACATCCCAAACCAAATCGGTGTACTGATCTGTAGGGTTCCTTGGGGGATGTCCGAGGCTAGCTCGTATGACCTTATAGATTCTAGAATTCCCGTTAATAATTTCAGACGTTCAGGATCGTTGAAGCCCATGGAAGGCCCTGAAAATGAAGACATCTTTGGAAAATCTTCTGGAGAGATGATAGATAAATGCTCGAGATGAATAAGTGTTCGACGTGGAGATTAGTGGTTGGATGGGACTCAATATGCACAACTCTTGTGTCAATGATGTAGAGCAACAAAGTAGTTAGAACTGAAGGGAGTGTGGGAATGGTTCCTGACACGTGACCATGCCATTCCGGGATGTCAGATGATCCGCCGCTGCGCCCACGTATTCTGTACCGCAAAATCCACAAATTACCTTGCTTATCTGGCCGAATATAACCTGAGCGAGATTGGCCGGCGTGGATTCAGCCTGGATTTATGGACTGAGGTGAAAGGCCTTTAGATATACTCAACGTCCCTATGATTATGACATCTTCATGTAACTGGTGATAATCCACATCTAGCAAGTAGATCCTCTCCGCTAGTGTCGCTGGACCTCCATTTAGGCCTAGTGAATCTCTACTCAAAGTACTGTCTTCCGTCCGCTAGGATGTTCTAGCGAGGCCCGTCTTCTGATGTTTTGTTCATCTGCAGCCTAGCTTGAGTGAGAGAGTCTCTGAAGCCGCATGGCTCGCAAACATCATAATTGATGTGAGCCGAGGATTAACCTTGGAAGATGAAATTTGAGACTTTCACTTTACCTAATCATCACCTAAGCCTTCGCCACCTGTGCCTACACGCACCAAGCAACCATCATCCTGAGATCTAAAATGATCATATACATACATTAGAATCCATGACTGCCATTTCTATGGATACCTGATGTATTGTCTATATGTCGGCGCCCATTCATGGGGCATGGAATTTGAGTAGTTACTCACAACCTAAGTTTTGTAATCTTGTTACAATCCTTCCCTTTGAAAGTCGGTTGAAGTTTCATGCACGATGTAGTCTGCGCACAGCAGCCAAATCTTTTCACCCGAAAGCCCAAATTGGAATCACTGTCCGGGTGAAAGTTCAGCCCACGCCGATGCTAATCTCGCATAGCTTATATCGTCACGCGAGCTAGTTCCTTGGGGAAGGTCACCTCAAGGTCATATCTAAGCGCGGCCTAATCTTAACTCAACGCCATCTGACCTTGAACTGCCTAATAGACCTCACAGAATGCGGCACCGAATGAGCTGATTGTGAAACAAGACTCGACTTAGTCCATGCTGGGATATTTTCAGTGTACGCTGAGCTGCAACCTCATGGTGAATTTTTTTTTCTCTTGAGATATGACATGCCTAAGGCTTTATCTAAAAATCTGTGTGAAGGCGGCGCATTGAATACAAAGCAATTATTTTCGGGATACCGTAACTGGGCGTTCCGTCGCCCACCGTTGAAGTGTATTATGTGTAATCATCTCGTAATGGCGAACATTCATCCAGTGGTCAACCAAAGCCAGGCATGACTCGAACTATTACTTCGTCCAGGTGACAGGTTACTGCTAAATATTGACAGATAAGCAGACCGTTGTCGGGCACAACGTCGAAGGATGTTTCTTCACACTTTTGTTACTCTCTATAAGGATGTCAACTAGCCTAGTATAGAAGCCACTGGTAGTCATGCTCCAACGGGCTTTGAGCGAATCTGGGCTGGGACAGCATCTTCCAAAGTGTCATTTAAAAAGAATACACAAGGTCCTGCATGACGTCAATCGCACAACCTTGTCACCGAGAGGCGAGAAAGCAGTGAAAAGTCTACAAAACTTGACAATAACGATGGAAAAATACAAGGTACATAGCCGTAGGTCTCAGGCTGGAGTACAAGACCAAAACTACGTACAAGTTAATCTTGTATGATCAGCTCACACAACCGGGGGTTAACTAGAGGAGCAACGTCTATGTTTTCGGGAAGCACAGCATCTATACACGATATACCCCTGGGGGTAGTTGACAAATTAATGTCGGATTGTCTTGCGGAAATAAATTGTGGTACGTTGGAAACCGGCCGTTCGAGCGGCTTACTTCCAGTAGGAATGGCTACAGCTGCGCCCCGATGAGAACCGCCTTGTAGTCTGCTACGCCTAGTAAACAGGTATATCAACGGATATATGAGCCCTGAGTATGAGAAACCTGCGAGGTCAATAGAGCGTATTTCAGAGAGCCAGAGCAGCTGCTAGCGACACATTAGAGCTTAAAGTGCTGACACGGACACGTCCCACGGAAGCCTAGTTATAACTGACCCTGCAGCATTACATCTTCTCTTTGGGAATACGTCAAATACAAATAAGCAGCCCTCGTACATATTATTGAAGCCACTAGATAGCCTTGGTTTTGCTCCGCTTAGGAAGGAACATGCTTTTCGCCGGAAGATTATGTACCAAAGTCATGGCAGTGAAGGTGACGGAAAGCCCAACATTCAAAATACACAACCTGAACCAACTAGTCGTATTCGACTGCATCAAAGCCCTCGCTACATATGAGCCAATAATAGCCATTTGTACCTAGCAGCTGAATATCGAAGAACGATGGGGGGCTCCGGTCTAACATGACCGAGTAGCTAAATTGAAACAGCTTCGAAATCATGGAAGATCTTTAAAGACAGGCTCTGAACCAATGCCTTAACTCCTCCAGACACCTTTTCAGGTAAAGCAAAAACATATCCACGATCCATCGTTACATTGCCTTCGTCTGTTTCATAAAGCTCCAGTTTCAGTGCACCTGGTCTATACAACTCGAACACAATATGGCATAGAGCCATCCACGCAAGACTTTTTTATCAGGAGAGTCACATCAGCAAAACTTCGCTTTTTAGAAGTACATATAGACGGCCAGGGTACGGGATGAAAACTTACTGCTTCCCAAGGGCAATCCCTCGATCCTCTACCAAATGGAACCATATATTCAGTTATTCGCGGGTCGTGGTTCTCTTCAGTGTGGAACCAACACTCGGGCTTGAATTTTTCTGGCTCGGGAAGCACTTCTGGATCCATGTGCATCCAGTAAGAAGACATCCCGACTGGGATCTATATCATTGTGAGCAGGTCCACCGTAAACTGAGGATCAGCGTAGTCTGTGCTTCGGGTACTAACCCCCTTTAGAATAGTCCATCCTTCTACAACAAAGTCATTTTCGGGAAAGACACGAGTCACCTATTTCATAATACCTGCAACAAGTCTGGAGACTGGATCAGCCATCCGGTGATATGACAACAACCACTCCCTGTGGCCTACTATACGTACCGTAAGCTTTATTTAACACAAGCATACAGATATGGAAGCTTTTCAAGCTCTGTACACATTACGTCAGGCGCTTGATCCTGGCTCAGAAAATTGCTGATCTCGCTCTGCAGGGCTTGCCGTTTCCTGTCATCTAGCGCAAGGTTCACAATAATCGTCTGCAGACAATTGGTAATAGAGTATATCCCGCCTTCCTGGATAAGCTAAATTTAGCGACATTCGAGTCAGCTTGACACTCAATACCTAAAAGCGCAGATGGGAAGACTGCAAAGCTGTCCACCCATATCATATATATCATTTCTAAATTGCCGCTTGATCGCCTCTGCCCGGTCAGATTTGTCGAAATCCGCAGTTTGGGCTGGACGCAGCACACTCTCGAAGCTCTGCTGGTATTGAGATTTCTTTTCATGCTTCTGTTAGCCGGATATAAAACAGCATTGTTGGAAAGGCTTCGATTATGATGCGTACCCCGTATTCATTCTTTGTCGATGCTTGTTTCTGAAGAAATCGTAAGATCCGCATTAATGAACTCCTGGCAGTATATAATAAGAGATGCGTCCCCGACATTTGAATAGAGGAATTGGGCTACATACCTTGCTGGCTTTGGGACCATACCCAGTAAGGGAACAGTAATTACACCCTGAAATTTGGCTTTGAACCTGAAGAGATAGGGAAATGTCAGCCAAGCACACTGCATCCAGAGATGGCCCTCGATAACTGACCAGGCAGCGTTGAACTCTAGATGTGAGAGATATTAAGTAGGTTCTTCGCACACTGTTGCTGAGACAAGGTCTGTTTGCCTTGACACTTAGTACCAGCTTTCATAATTATTAATTTCCAGAGGCGCCTCTTTTCACTACTTCAACCTTTGCTTTCTCACCTCCCTGAATACTGCTTCAGCACACCTCTTTTTACTATTTTAATCTTTGCTTCCTCACCTCCCTGAATACTGCTTCAGTATATTTTTTTTTACTACTTTAATCTTTGCTTCCTCACCTTCCTGAATACTGCTTTAGCATATCTTTTTTTATTACTTTAATTTTTGCTTTCTTATCTTCCTGAATACTGCTTCAGCGCGCCTCTTTTTACTACTTTAATCTTCACTTAAAGAGACGAGCTGAAGCGGGGAATATAATCTTCTTATATTTTTATAATATAGAAACTGAAGAAGTATATAGTATTATAGAAGTAAACTAAATAATAATAATAATAATAAATAAAAATAAGGATCTTATTTAATCCTGAAAGATTTTTGGTTAATAATCTAATAAATCTAACTAGTCTAATATTATAATAAATCCCTGTATTATAAGGTTTTAACGGAATTTAAGATTTACAGGAGAATTTAATATATCAAAAATAAAAATAAAATACTAATATTATTTTATCTTTTCTTCTCTTTTCTCTTCCCGCTCTGCTCTATAGTAATTAAATATTAATTTTTATATTCTGTATTTAATTAGGAAGCTAACTGATATTACCAGGAATTATTATACTAGACTTATAAATAGAGTGGTTAACGGCCAGGGTAGGGTAGGTTAATGGAAAAATTTATACCTGCCGTCAGGTTAACAGTTAAACATAAGATTTCCTTATATCTAACTGCGGAACAGCCAAAAATAGGACAGTTAATTATCTTAACTATCTTTAGGACTAAGACCTATCTATTATACTTTTTTAGATTTTAACACGGATAAGATATACTCAGATTAATAACTATTTATTCTAATTATTTATATCTTTATTAATAACTAACGCAAGACTAGAGTGGTTATACCTGACTGTTATATCTTAACCTAACCTTAACTGTAACCTGATGGTTAGGTTAAGATATAAGAATCCTCTTAACCATACAGTTAAGGATAGGTTACAGTTAAGAGATTGCTTTAACTAATCTTAACTACTAGTTAGAAAGATTAGATATACTTAGAAAATTAATAATTATAGATTAATTAATAATTTATACAGAGTCTTTACAAGAATAATATACCAGTGGTAGACATGGCAAACGGGCGAGCCGGGCGAGCTTTAGGGGGGTCAGCTGTTCGCCCGTTCGAGCTTCGAGCTTTGAGTAGCTAGGCTCGGCTCGGGGTCGGCCCCTGTTACTTGATAAAAAGGCTTACCCATAAAGACTCAGGAGGGCTTGCCAAGGAGTCTAAAGAAATATATACTTACTGATTTAAATTAAAACATGCCAAGTAACACGCTATAATAGATTATATATATTCCGGGTATATTCTAAATATAATAGAAGGTAAATCTTATTACTGAGTAGTTAATCTTTTATACTAAATAAATATTAGTTAACCCGGGGGTCTGAGATCAAATAGAATATATCTATTTAAATAATTATATAATCTTAATTTTAGAATAATAAATTAGAAATATATCTCTTTTTTCTGTTCTTTATCTTTTTTATATAATATTCTATTCTTCTTGCAGATATCTTACATCTCTAGATTTAAAATCTATTTATCTAACCCCCCGGTCACAACTTTTCTAACTTTCTAATTTAAATTAAAAGAATAATTTAGCACTTAATAGGAAGATGCTTTATTATAAAAATACTATTTTAAATTTCTAGATATTATCAGTCATTAATTATTATCCAGCAGTTTCTGTGGAGACTCTTTATATATATAAATTATTAATATATTATCCTGATATAGACTATTCATAATTTATTTAATAAATACTGAGATTATCTTAATTATATTATCCGTGTATATATATCTTCTGATTTAAGTTAAATTAAATAATCTAGCATTAATTCTCAGTATTATCTTTAAAAATACTTTTATATATAAATATATCATCCCGGTACAGACTCTTGGAAATTTATTTTATAAATATTAAAGTTATCCTGGCTGCACTATCCCTGTATATATAATATAATTTCTGATTTAAATCAGAAAATTCTTTGTAAAGCAATTTCCCTAAGTCTTTAAAAATAAGATAAAAGTATAAAATAATAGTAGAAAATAAAGAAGTCCAGTAAGTAATCTAGATCAAAGACTCTATTATTAAGAAAGAACTTAGAGATGCCTGGCTGGATATAGTAATAATAAATATTTATAATCTTAATTCTGAATAACCCGTGAAAACTAGAAATATATAATCTTAAAAAAATAGAAAACTTAATCTTATTTATATCCAGAGTTTTAAGCAGGCCTTTATTACAGGAATCAGAAAAACTTAATCTGATATATTTCTTAAGTATATCATTTTAAAAAAAGACTGGTCAAATATTCTGGAAAGCCTGGTAAATATATTTAATAAGAATAATAATAATATTTTTTAGTTTATTACTAATGAGATTCCAGATATATGGAGTATTAAATATCTAAATAATATTATCTAGTAAAAATTAGTATTTTTCCAGAAAACTGGATAAACAGATATAAGAAATCTGACTATTCTATATTATAATAAAGTATTTCTAAAATTTATTTTAAATACTAACCAGTACAGATGGTAAGTATTTCTGAATATTATTCAGAAAATACAGGCAAATTTCTCTAGATATAAGATATTAAATAAGTTCTAAAAAGAGAAATTTAATCTACTATTATAAGATATAGTAGAAGAGATGATATCTCTTTCTGATTTAAATCAGAAAATACTAATAATTATATCTAGAACTATCTTTAGACTATTAATGTATACTGTCTGGATAATCTTAAATCTAAAATCTTATTTATATTTTAAATAAATTACTAGCTAGTTTACTAGCTTAATTAGAATAAAATCTTTCTTCTATTTATTCTTGATCTCTGGAAACTCAAGTTTAAGAAAAAGTAAATATTTTTTATTATAGCTAAAAATACTAAAGAATAATTTTACTAACTTTTTAATATTTCTTCTAATAATATTTTATGTATAGTTTCCCTATTTAAATAAGATAAAATATACAAGCTGTTTAGTAATTATTACAGAATAAACTATAATTTAAAATATTTTAATTTTATAATAACAGATTACATCATCATATCAAAACTTTATGAGGTATATTAAATTTTATAATAATATAATTCTATGAAAAACTTCTGATTTAAATTAAAAGATCTAGAAGTTAAGATTAAACAAATTCTTTGTATAGACTGAAATAATATTTAATAAAAATTAATCTCTTATATTAAGTAGAGATTAGAGTAAGATTCTCTAGATTTCTATATTAAAATAGATTAAATCTCTGCAAAGACTTTTCTTTCCTACTTCTATTAATATCCGGAAAAATAAGCTCAAATATAATTATTTAAAACTCTCTGAGAAATATAAGTTAAGTAATAAAGATTTATTAAGATTATAATAACAGAGAACTTGATTAAAATATATATTTAAATATCAGTAACTAGAATTTCTAGAAAAGCTTTCTGAAGAAGATTATTACTTAGTTTTTAATAATCTGATAATTTATAATATAAATATATACCTGATCTAGCAGTAATAAATTAATCTAGTTAAAAATATACAGAAGCTATTAATCAAGATTCTAAAATATATCATTATCTGGTATATACTTATTTAGATATTTCCTGAAAAATATAAGACTGCTCTCCAGACATTTAAATAGTTAAGTAAAATAAGAAAATATTTTATAAATTATAAATTATTAAAGAATATTATTGGTCTATATACAGGGCAGAGTAAGAAAGATATAAATATTATTATTATTAATTTTCTTAGTAAACTCTAGGATATTATAGTACATGACAACTAGTAAAAAGATAAAAAACTAAAAAATTTAATATATAATATCTTTCTAACTTAAATCAGAAAAAATATATTAATAGTAATAGCTTATACTATTTCCCACTGAGAATACTATTATAATGAAAGATGAAGAATAAGAAACTTATATTAGAATATTATATTATTATTATTAGATTATAGTAGTTTAACATTACTCTTATTTTATTAGTCCTAGAATATACAGTAATATATGCCAGTTTAGTAATTTAAATATAATTATAAATTTTCTGATTTAAGCTAGAAAGATAATACTAATCCATAAATAATCATATCTGTTAATTTCATGGTATCTATTTATATATCTAATAATTAGAGCTAATTTTTCAGAGAATAAACTTATTATAGACTTTCATGTCTTAACCTCTCCGAATTCCAGAAATAAATTTAGAGAGAAAATAAATATTTTTAGTATAATATAAGTCTATAGAATATTCAAGATCAGAATACTTCAGATCTTATAAACTGGATTCTATAAATATATTATAATAAAGATAAAAAAAATTACTAATCTTATTCTTAATAAAGTAAGTCTGGATTCTGATTTAAATCAGAAAAAATTTTATTTAAATAAAAAATAAACTAAGTAAATAAAATATATAGACTAGCTAGTAATCTATACAGCAATACTTTATAAATACAGAATTCAGGTTGATCCTGATAATTATAATAAGAATCTCTTAATATTAATATTTAATTATAAAAAGTATAAGATTACAGATATATCTATTATATAGAAACCTGGCTTTTATAAGGCTCTTCTAAAATTAAAT